TTCCTCTTTTCTTCCTTCCCTTCCGTCCACCTGTGCGTCGTCAGTCACGACCACTGGATGTTGCAGACGATCAAGAGTAAGGACGGTGAGGTTCTCCTTTCAGACGGGCATACGATGAACCAGTTGCCCCCGGTGCTCTCGTGGGGACTCCCAAGCACTTAGGGAGAGATGGGCCACGAGCTTCTCTGCAGAGCAAGGTCACTGCGGCATCGCAGGCACGGGGAGCCACAGCAGGTGACACAGGGCCACCGTCTGGAGACGCCGCGCTGAGGGCGCTTCCCCAGTCATGTGCCCCCAAGCACCATCGCTGGACGGCGTGCACGGCCTACCCTCTGCCCACCCGTGGACGGTCCTTGTTCAACAGCCATTTCTAGTTGCTAAGGATGCTAATGTGCATGTGCATGGTGCACACGCATGGACACGGTTACACACGTGCACACGACTCTGCAAACACATACATTTATACACACACCACGAGGACGCTTGGGCGTGGACACGCCGAGCCTACTTGTGCTTCCTTGTCTCTGAGACGCCTCTTCCTGTCCTTTGAACACTTTCTATCAGCTTGGTGTCTTTTTTAACTTAGTAAGAATTCTCTCTGTATTAAGAACATTCACACTCGATCGTAGATGGAGCGATATTTTCCCAATTTCTCATTTATAAAAGTTTCTATACAAACAACACACATTCAATGTAAGAAAGTGTTCTATAGCTTGACTAAATCTATCACGTTCTTCCGTATGGCCACTTCCAGGTACGCCCGCCCCCACTCTGCTGTCTGCATCCTGGAAGCCCGGCTTTGCCTGCGTTTAAACATCCCTCCCTCAGGAACGCTGAGCAGGATAAAGCTGGAGCCACAGCCAAGAGGCCGCCTGAGCTTCCCACGTGTGAGAGGCACCCCCGACCTCTAGTTCTGAAGTGCCTCCTCTCCCGCCGTGCTCACACAGAGCGACTCACCTCCACAGCCTGAGCCCCCGCACTGATGATGAACACCTGGCCCCCGGACGCGGCCCACAGGCTGTCTTCCGTCATCAGGAGACTTCGAACCGGTAGGACACCCAGCTTCAGCACTTTCTGAGGTTCTGAATTCCAGGATCCATCTGAAAAGAAAACACTTCTCTTAGTTTCATTCAAATTCAGTTATCCGCACACGGGGACCGGAACAGGAGCACTGGTCACTTAAGTGACAGACAAACGAAAGTCATCTGTGATGTTCTCACACGCGGGCCCGATTCGCGGTGTGTCCACAGCTCCAAGAATCAGCCCCCTTCCCCAGGGCGATCTGGCCAAGCGGCGGAGCATGGAGCTCCCGTACGTAGTCAGCAGGCCTCCGCTCTGGTCCCAGCCCAGCCGCCTGGTGCATGTGCTGGGCAAACTATTCACCCTAGTCTCAGTTTCCTCATCTGTAAAATGGGGGCGATATGGCCACTTTCCTCAAAGGTTTTCACTGCAGGCCCGAGTCCTCAAACAGGCTGCCCACACCACGGCTGGGCCCATAACTGCTAATTATGCTTGGAGCCACCACTTTAAAGTCTGGAAATTTCCCACAGAATTCCACATTGCCAACTCCCTAAAAAGTCAAAGACTGGCATCAGAATGTGGCTGGCAAGCGGCCCTTTTCCCCAGGCCTCTGGCCTGCCAAGTCCTCCCGCCTTCAACAACAAAACGAGAGCAAAGAAGACTTGTCTCCACACAAGACGCACAGACGCCCACAGATGGTCACAGTCACCGGGGACGCAAACCCAACCGACAGTGAGCTGTCGCGTCACACCTGTGAGAACGGCCGCCGCCAGAGACAGGAGAGAACAAGTGTGGTGCGGACGTGGAGGGAAGGGACCCCGCGCACGGCTGATGGGAATGTAAATCGGTGCAGCCACTGTGGAGAACAGTACAGAGGCTCCTCAAAAAATTAAAAGTAGAACCACCATGTAACCCAGCAACCCTGCTTCTGGGTATTTATGTGAAGAAAACGAAAACACTAACTGGAAAGCCTATCTGTGCCCCACGTTCACGGCGGCACCATTCACATGGCCGAGCACGCACGTGACCTGAGCTGTCGATGGATGAACGGTGACAGAAAATGTGACAGGTAGACACACGATGGCGTGTCGGCTGTGACGAGAATGAAATCCTGCCGCCTGTGACGACACCAGTGGGACCTGAGGCTGTGATGCTGAGGAAATGAGCCAGACGGTGTGCTCTCACCTACATGCGGAATCTGCAAAGGCTGAACTCGGCAAGAGCGCAGAGCGGTGCTTTCCAGGGACCGGGGGTGGGGGCCGGGGAGGCGTCCGTCAAAGGGCACAAACCTCCGTTGTCAGGTGAGTAGGTCCTGGGATCTGGCGCA